AAATGCATGCATTTTCAACATATATGGTAACATGCTAAGAATACCACTGTGGCTTCTTATAATTTTCAAATAAAAAAACTCAAGAAAAACTGTCTAAAAAGCACACATCATCACCACACATATCAAGATTATTAAGCAATGAACACCAAATATAATCTGGTGCTGCCTACTCTGGTGGGAGTAACCCAGGTGACCCTTAGGCCTTTCTTCTGAGGAGCCTCTGGAGGACTTGAACTTACTACCTTCTGGTTAGTAGTTGCACATGTTAAATCTTTCTCCGTGCAAGGACCCTACGTCAAACACAGCTGACACTGCGGAGTCAGAGCCGATGCCCAGCAGACCTAACCAGGTTCCTGAATCACAAGGGAGGGACTGTCCATCCTTGTCCAGCTGAGCCGCTGGAGGATCCGCACCAGCTGAGAGAAGCTGCCTGGGGGTTAGGAGCAGACCATTCTGCAAGCTCTGATCCTCTGTCAACCTGAACGTAACTGGAACTTACTATAAGGCTAACGAGGGCCGACTCAAGTGAAAGTCAAGGTGAATCTTCACGTTCACTTTGATTAATTGGAAAAAAAAATCTTTCATTCCACTTACCACACACACCTTGATCATGAGGCACCTCAGTGTAACCTCAGGAGTAACACTGAATAACCAATCAAGAGCAAAACCCTCACAACTTCTGTTGAGAAGAAGAACTCCTTAGGTGGTGTGAGCTTCTTGGCAGATTTGTGTTGGGCGTGCCAAGAAAAGGGGCCCAACCACCCTTTTCCAAGTCCATCTCTCAGGGCCATATTTATGGGGAGCAACTTTGAACATGGCAATGTCTTCATCAAGGACAGACAGCTGGGTTGCCGACTGCTTGCCATACAAGAGGCAGACTCACCTATGTCCAGTCGCACCTCTGATATGTCACAACTATCTGCATGTGAGGCCTCCATCCTGGCCTTTTCAACATCGCATCCCTTTGGGATCTGCCTGAAGGAGAACTGACGGAAACTTTCTGATGCTAATATTTCTTTCTGGGCTGGGAATAATCAAGTCCTGGGTGACTGATGCAATAGTCTCATGTCTTTCTCAGCATGTATGAAATAATATCAACTTACTTTATTAGCCTGTAAGTAGGGTAAAATCAAATCCCAGACTCAACAATTGTATCTCATTCTGCCTATCAAGTACTGGCTAGGGATCAGAGGCTGACTGGAAAAAGCATCATGTAATTTTTAGAAGCACTTCCCACACAAGATGTGTTTTTTAGGCAGGCACTGACTGAGAAAGAACCATGGCTTGTTTGTACTTATTCACATCAACAATCAGTGGTGGAAAACCATAACATGATCACATGAGAGAAAGGCTGTATTTGCTGCAAGGTGCCACTGTTGTAAAACAG